TATTACCTGTTATTCAATGCCTATGCAGGTTCTGTTCACTAAAATAGACTTCATTCACAGGCGCGCGCCCGCCCTCTCTGTGGTAACAGCTCACGGTCAGCTCACGTCACGTGAGTTTTCGCGGCCACGAATACATCATTACATGTAGACAGAAATGACATTTTTGGGTGAATCATACCTTATGAATACAGAATGTGACACTTTTAACACAATTTGAAGGTGTCTATGTTGCTGAGCAATGTATGTTAAACAACGTGAAGACTTGTGCAGCCGCCTTTGCATTTCTCCTGAACTTAAAAATATGATTGGCATAATCGTAAAAATGCTGGATTGAGATCGTCTAGGAGTCGAATCGAGATCGTCATGTTTTTTCGAATAATCATGCAGCTCAACTCCAAACAGTTCAGTTTGAGTCTGATCAGAGCAGAGAGTTTAGTTTCTGATGCTCTGAGAGTCCTTCAGATGTAAACTCCAGGCGGGGAGTGTCTTCCGTCTGCCCGCTCTACCATACAGATGCCTGATTGGTGGATTGCTGCACAGATGGTTGTCCTTCTGTAAGGTTCTCCTCTCTCCACAGAAGAGCGCTGGAGCTCAGACAGAGTGACCATCGGGTTATTGATCACCTCCTTGGCTCTTCTCCCCTGATCACTCAGCTTAGATGGCCGGCCAGCTCTAGGAACAGTCCTGCTGGTTAAACATCTTCCACTTAAGGATGATGGAGGCCGCTGTGCTCAGTGGAGCTTTCAGAGCAGCAGAAATGTTTCTGTCACCTTCCCCAGCCTTGTGCTTCCAGACAATCCTGTCTCAGAGGTCTACAGACAATTCCTTTGTCTTCATGCTTGGTTTGTGCTTTGACATGCACTGTTGACCCTGGGATCTTATATAGACAGGTGTAGCCTTTACAGATCATGTCCATCAGCTGAATTGAGTACAGGTGAACTCCAATGAAGCTGCTGGAACATCTCAAGAGTGAATCAGAACCTGAGCTCAGTGTAGAGCTTCACGCCAAAGCCTGTGAATACTGATGTACATGTGATCTATCAGCTTTTTATCTTTAATAAATTTGCAGCAATTTCTAAACTCTGTTACCACATTGTCATTAAGGGGGATTGTGTGTAGAATGTTGAGGAAATCAATCAATTTAATCCATTTTGGAATTAGACTGTAACATAAACAAATGTAAAAAGAGAAGCGCTATCAACACTTTCTGGATGCACTGTATGCTCAAAACACATCCAGAACTGATTAAGAGAATAAACACAGTCCTGTTAGGCCATGTGCCGGGCACAGAGCAGATGTTCCTGTACATAATAGCAAAAGTGGATCAGACATGCCCTTAATGCTTTTCTGCCATGAGTTTTAGACTTTACCCCTAGAAAGTCTAAAAACAGAAATAGAGCCAAGTATCTCAATATTTTTTAAGTTCTAAAAATAGTAAAATCAGTAAAGCAATAAATAAAATGGCAGAATGAAAAAGAAAAATATAAAATAAACATAAATTAAATCATGAATAAAAGCTACATTGATTACTCAGTGACACAGAAACAACATTTATTAAGAACTGGAAGCAGGTTATTCACGTTAAACTTATGCTTTAATCGACTGCTAAAAGAGGTCATTAACTAAACAGTGTTTTATAAATAAAATGAACCAAATTTATTGTCCAATCACAGGCGTCCAGAAATCACCATCCTCTCTGCTGAGCCGCTGCCGACCAATAGCTGGTTCCCGGGGGCTTCTGGGGGGTTTCCTCCAGCCCCGCCCCCTCCCCCACCCACATGGGCTGCTGGCTCTGCAACAGTGCAGGTGGGTGGAGCTTAAAGGAGATCTATTATGCAAAACTCGCTTCTATAAGGGGCTTAAACCCAGTAGTGTGTGTGTCAGCAGTGTGTGAACATCTCCAGCCTCTAATGCTCAACATGAGTTAATTGTATTTGTCCTGACTTAATGCAGAAACACTTTGATTGACATTCTCTCTTTGTGTCATCAGAGGAGGAAAGCCCCGCCCACTAGTGCCCATTTCTCCGTCTCATTAGCATAAACAGCAGGCCTGAGTGAGAAGCAGCCGTCTGTCCATTCGCCATTAGAGTGTTTGAGCTGCTGAAGATGATGTCAGCATAGACTAAGAGGATTATTATATATGTGGAGTTCTAGATGAACAGCGACAGGAGCGACATAGACTGACAGAAGCATCAAGCACACACTTACACTGAAGCACACCTGACCAGCACTAACAACACACACACTGCTGAATTACATCTGTCACTATGATGGTGTAGCTCCGCCCTCTTCTAAAAAGAGCACAATCTCATTTGCATTTAAAGCGACAGTCACCAAACGCCACGATTAGGATCAAAGGCTGAACGGGTCAGTTTCAGAGAGCTGGAGAACATGATCTGTTGAGTTTTCTCAGCTCAAACACACACACACTGTTGACACAGCAGACTGCGGCTCATTTTGATTGATTGATTGATTGACAGCTCTGGCTCCTCCTCCACAGCTCCCTCCTCCCTCCTATGAGCAGGTGATCAGAGAGAAGAGCCGAGAGCAGAATATTCAGCCTCCAATATCTTCATCTCCGATATCTCCACCAACTTCATCTCCATCATCTGCTTCTGCTCGTCTCTCCACTTCCAGCATCGCCACACAGACGGACACGCACTCCCACGGCCCACAATCCTCTGCTGCTCGCCCAGGTGAGAGGACAAATCAGCAAAATACTACACTCAAAATCCTGCACTGTAGTCCCTTTTGGGTTAAAAATGAAATAAGTAGTACTGCGCAAAGATTAATAACGACATGAGTGTGCATTATATACTTTTATTATGTATACAGTTGAAGTCAGAATTATTCGCCCCCCCCTTAAGAATTTTTCTTTCTTTTTTAAATACTTTCCAATTGATGTTGAACAGATTCAGGAAATGTTCACAGTGTGTCTGATAATATTTGTTCTTCTGGAGAAAGTCTTATTTGTTTTATTTTGGCTAGAATGAAAAGTTTTTAATAAAAAGAAAAAAAACATTTTAGGGACAGAATTATTAGCCCCTTTAAGCTATTTTTTTCCAGATAATCTGCAGAACAAACCATCGTTATAGAATAACTTGCCTAATTACCCTAACCTGCCTAGTTACCCTACTTACCCTAGTGAAGCCTTTAAATGTCACTTTAAGCTGTATAGAAGTGTCTTGAAGAATATCTAGTCTAATATTATTTACTGTCATCATGACAAAAGAGAAAATAAATCAGTTATTAGAGATGAGTTATTAACACTATTATGATTAGAAATGTGTTGAAGAAATCTGCTCTCCGTTAAACAGTAATTACGAAAAAAAATTAAACAGGGGGGCGAATAATTCTGACTTCAACTGTATGTGATTTAACTAAACATTTCTTTAAAAAAAAACAAAGAAAAACCGGCAACCTACCGCATGGCAGTCGGCTGCTGTAACAAGGAGGCTAAAGACCATGGCCTCTAGCAGCTGTTACTAGACAACCTTTAGAGGTCAGAGGAGTGAGGTTTACCTGCACAGCACTTACTAGCTGTCCTCTGTTACACTCACCCTCCTAAACCTCACTCCCATTCGGGTCACGCTAGAGATCTGCACGGGACTAAATTTTGAATCCCGCCCGCACCCGCCAGGTTTTAGCCCGAACCCGACCGCTCCCGCTTATATTAAGTATTTGTTGTCCCGCTGCCCGACCCGCCCTGTTTTCTACAGCCTAAACAAGCTGTCTGTATAAACACACACACAGCACCAAGCACACACACACAGACAAAGCTCTCTCTCATTCACACACACACACACACACACACACACACACACACACACACACACACACACACACACACACACACACACACACACACACCTCTCATTCGCGCGTGTGCACACATACACACACACACACACACACACACACAGCAACAAACAAGCTAAACACAGCATCGCGCTATGTCATTTACACACATACATACGTGTGCTCGCTCGGGAGTCGGGAGCGATATTGCTAGACAGCCCGCTCCCGTCCCAAATTAAACCCGTTACCGACCGCTCCCGCGATTTATTCGGAAATTAATTCCCGCGCCGCAGAAATCTGGTCGGATCCCGCGGCTGTCCCGCAGGAGACAGACCCCTAGACCTCTAGGTCACGACACCAATGTAACCTCACCGGTCCTACACCACCAAACTCGCTCCGAACTGGTATCGTGTATATATATTTGTGTGTATATATATGTTTACACACAGGTAGGTCCATAAATATAAAATGTAAAAATAAATTAACATTTAATGTTAAAACAAACTTTTATTTTATAACAAATATTAACATTTTACTCAAACCCATAAATTAAATAAACTGTTATATTATATATTCTCATTATTTATAGTGTTTATCAAAAGTTTGTTGTCAGTTAATAAAAAAAGACGTTAATATTTTTATGAATCAAGAATACTTTAATTATATATATATTACATTTATATTCGATTCAAACAAATAATACAATTCTAGCAATCATACATGTAATGAAAATAAACTTTTTTTCCTTCAGTTCGCAGACCTCCCAAACCGCCACGTCCCTCGCCACCCGTCCAAAATCGAGACTCTCTGCATGAACAGTGTGGCGTCCAGACCGACTTCGATGATGTCATTGACGATGTCACATCCACAACCTCCACCCCCACTGACCTCACTCTCATAGACTCCGCCCCCACAGTCCCTGCCTTGATAGACTCCGCCTCCTCCCCGATGGATAAGGTCATGATATCAGATCCTCGTCCCAGACCTCGGCCGCGCTCCAGAATAATTCAACCTGAAACTACAAATCAGCCAATGACTAGAGAGGTGAAAGTTCAAACTCTGGTGCGTCTGAAAGACGATACAGCCGAAAACGTGTTTGCCGGATTTGACGACACTCCGTCTAATATTTCCAGCAAATATCTGGATGATCTGATGGAGGTGTTCAGTCCTGACGAAGCTCCGCAGAGCCAGATGATTGATGGAGAAGACGATATGAAAACATCTGAAAACAGACCTCAGCCTCGACCCAGAACTCTGAAATCCAAAACACAGATCACAGCCAAACCTTCAGTCTTTGACGTGTTTGATGGCGGAGATCCTGAAGTCCAGCAGAATCACTTCAGAAGTCCACCAGTGCCGGCGCCGAGACCTCATCTGAACAAACCAGCACAAGGTCATTATTGTTTAGCATTTTTACATTTCGGAAACTTCGAAATCAATACTTTATATTGATACTATATAGTGGTACTATATATAGTGTATTTTAAAATTTGCTATAGATTTCCCCTAGTATTAGTTTGATTCGTTAATGATTTTGTAAGTTGTAAATACGTTTTTATGTCGTGCACGCGTTTATATTTAGTTATGGAAAACACTTCTCCAGGCCAGCAGGGGGTTGCACTATATATATATATGTGTGTGTGTGTGTGTGTGTGTGTGTGTGTGTGTGTGTGTGTGTGTGTGTGTGTTCAACATGGGACATATAGACTATTCCAATACCATTTTAAAATTAGCGATAGATTTCACTTTCGTTTTAGTTTGTTTGGTTAATGATTTTGCTACCTTAATGATTTTTTACCTTCAATTTGCTGTAGATTTCATTTTAGTTTTAGTTTGTTTCATTAATGATTTTGTTAGTTTTAATTTAATTTTTATGTTGTGGACACATTTCTATTTAGTGTTAGAAAACACTCCTCCAGGCCAGCAGGGGGCAGCACTGATGGCCAGTTTATCTGAGAGAAGAAACTCAGACGATCTGCTGCTTCTGAACAAACACCAGAGTCCAGCACAAGGTTACTATTGTTTTGCATTTTTACATTTAGAAAGCTTTCGAAATTTTAAAGCTAAATAATGTATATATAGAGTATTTCGATTATTTGTTGCAGATTTCACTTAGTTTGTTTCGTTAATGATTTTGTTAGTTTTAGTTTAGTTTTCATATTGTGGACACATTTGTGTTTAGTTTTTATATATTTAGTTGTAGAAAACACTCCTTTAAACCAGCAGGGGGCAGCACTATATGTGCTACTTCACCATAGAATATTTCAAATTTTATTTTAAAGTTTGTTGTAGATTTCATTTTTGTTTTAGTTTGTTTAGTTATTGATTTTGTTTGTTTATTTTAGTTTTCATCTTGTGGGCACATTTCAATTCAGTTTTTATATATATTCAGTTTTAGAAAGCACTCCTCCAGGCCAGCAGGGGGCAGCACTGACGGCCAGTTTATCTGAGAAAAGAAACTCGGATGATCTGCTGCTTCTGAACAAACACCAGAGTCCAGCACAAGGTTACTATTGTTTTGCATTCTTACATTTCAAAAATGTTAAAATTTCAATACTACATATAGTGTGTGTATATAGAGTATTTCGATAAATTTTAAAAAAATTTGCTGTATATTTCACTTTCGTTTTAGTTTGTTTGATTAATGATTTTGTTTGTTTTAGTTTAGTTTTTATGTTGTGGACACATTTTCATGTAGTTTTTATATATTTCGTTTTAGAAAACGCTCCTCCAAGCCAGCAGATGGCGGCACTACATACACTACTTCATCACTATATATAGAATATTTCTATTCTTTTTGTAAATTCGCAGTACTTTTTAGTTTGTTTCATTAATCGTTGTCTTCATTTTACTTTAGTTGTCATGTTGTGGACTCGTTTATATGTAGTTTTTATATAATTTTTATATATATTTAGTTTTAGAAAACACTCCTCCAGGCCAGCAGGGGGCAGCACTGACGGCCAGTTCATCTGAGAGAAAAAATTCAGACGATCTGCTGCTTCTGAACAAACACCAGAGTCCAGCACAAGGTTACTATTGTTTTGCATTTTTACATTTCGAAAACTTTCGAAATTCCGATACTATATGTCGAATATTTAAATGTATTTAAATTAGTTATTTTGATACTAGTTTTTGTTTAGTTTTTATTTAGTGGATATTTTTTTATTTAGTTTTTTTATGCATTTAAATCGAAGGGCGGCACAGTGGCTCAGTGGTTAGCACTATGGCCTCACTGCAAGAAGGTCGCTGGTTCGAGTCCCGGCAGGGTCAGTTGGCGTTTCTGTGTGGAGTTTGCATGTTCTCCCTATGTTGGTGTGGGTTTCCTCCGGGTGCTCCAGTTTACCCCACAGTCCAAACACATGCGCTATAGGGGAATTGATTAAATAAATTGCCCGTAGTGAGTGTGTATGAGTGTTTCCCAGTACTGGGTTGCAGCTAAAAGGGCATCTGCTGTGTAAAACATATGCTGGAATAGTTGGTGGTTCATTCCGCTGTGGTGAGAGCCCTGATGAATAAAGGGACAAAGCTGAAGAAAATTGAGAAAATATTTAATTTGGGTTCTAGTTTCAGTAGTAGTCTTTTATCAGAGTGAACAGAACACCGTGAGTTAATTTTAATGTTTGCACATGCTTTCTAACTTTTGTTTATTCGCCAAAAAATTGAGGCTAGTCATGTTTAACTAGCCTAAATTTTTAGGCAAACAAAGAAACATTAGAAAGCATGTTTTATGCTTGTATAGAACAGATGTTTTGTAAATAATAATCCTGCTGTTGACTGATGTGTTTGTGTGTAAAAGCGCCATCTACAGGTGATTCCCTAAACTGCCGCAGGTCAGATTTTTCGCCACAATTATGAGTGCTTATCAATTATTTTTTATTTAATTATTATTTTATGTCATTTCTGTTAGCTTTTTAGTGACTGTTGTTAGTTCAAGTTTTAGTTTTTCATTTATTGTGAATTTATTGTGAGTTTTCGTTTACTAAAATAACCTTATTCCAGCAGAGTCCAGACCTGAAAACACTCCTCCAGGCCAGCAGAGGGCAGCACTGATGTCCAGTTCACCCGAGAGAAGAAACGGCGATGAAAAGGCTGCAAACACTCCAGCGAAGACGCCGACTGACAGAAACGCTGGAAAACGTGAGTGTTTAAAATAATAGTTCACTTAAAATGACATTAACTTTGACACTTTACATATGTATACGTATATGATTCTTTTCTGTCAGACGAACACAGCCATAATATTTTTCAATTTGGTCCTTTCTCTTCCATGCTGTATAATGGTGTTAAAGAAAAGCAGCCCATTATTCAAACTATTAAATGTGCGTAAATATGTCATCAAACTTCCTTATACACCACTAGGGGGCAAAAGGAAAACTCAGCTTTTTTTTAGAAATGGGCCAATTTTACAGCTCGGCAAGAGTTAAACTGTTGTGCTTTACCATTTCTGAATCCATTCAGCTGATCTGTGGGTCTGACGGGAGCACTGTTAGCTTAGCTTAGCATAGATAATGGAATCTGATTAGACCATTAGCACCATAAAAACGTTTTTCCATAATTTTCCTATTTAAAGCTTCTGTAGTTTCATCATGTAGACAGAAACAAGACTCTGAAATCCGCAACCGTCCCCCCACTCTTCACTTTCGTCCGCAACAACCCCCCACCATTTTTTCCCTAACATTCTTCAAAATATCTTCCTTTGTGTTCAACAGAAGAAAGAAACTAATAAACGTTTAGAAGCACTTGAATGTGAGTAAATGATCATTTTCGGCTGAACTGTCGCTTCATTAATCTAATGTGTTTATAATCAGGTCCGACTGTTCCCAAACACTCCCGTCCACCTCCACCTGTGCTCCGCAAGTCAGTGTCCACCTCACAGGTGAGTTATTGATGTTTAACACACGGCTATCTGAAATACTCCATTCTCGGCCAGTCGCAACATTCCAAGGTATGTTATTCCCTGATAACAACCACTGACTTATCTTGCTAACAAGCACAGACTCATCCGGGTACTTTAAATACACACATTAAACATGTTAACATCCATATTTATTTGCTTATCTGTGTTCAGTTTGGCGCCATCTAGTACCTGAAAAATGTATAGGCTAGTGTATGCTCCATTCAGCCGGTTTCATTTCTGACAGCTTTTATTACAGAATAAATAAACTATTATAGCTCAGAGCAATGTTTTGTCTCTAATTTTACTTTCTGTGGCCAGTAGCCGTGTAATAAGCGGGGTAAAGTACATCCAGCCAGTTGTTTTTGCAGATTAAAGCCTTTATTCTCAGGCCAATATGCCTGTCGGGTTTATTCTGTGATAACAACCACCTGGATGTACATTATTACTCCTAAACCAGCCTAATAAGATTATTGTGAGTGTGTCAGAAGTTGCTTATGATGTGTGTGTGTGTGTTCAGATGACAGTGGATGTCTCCAGCACTCCTGAAGCATCAGTTCCTCCTCTTCCTCCCAGGTACTGCAGTGTTTTCCCTCCTCCAATGAAGTGTCTGCTTCCACTTTCTCTTGTTGGTACAATTTGGCGTCAGGCATGACACAACTGTTTTTTTTTTGCTAGTTTTAGCCCAGCACAGGTATCATTTTCATGTCCTGTGCCAAATTGTTTACCTAGCAAACAGGAAATTATGCTGGAAATGAGGTGTGTTAAGGCACATTGCTGACCTATTGCTATTTTAAGGCAATTGAAAGAGACTGCACCATTGACGTGCTAAATTCTGCTTTAAAATCACAGTTTTTTTTTGTAATTTAAAGGGTGTGTTAATGATATGCGGGTCCAAAATGCACATACATGTTGCTTATTACACACACAGGGATGCGCAGCAGCACACAGATATCTTTAAATATGAAATTTAATGGATTAAAATGTAAAGGACTACTATTATTGTCTATGTAAATATAAAAATGCTACCTCCTCCCAATGGATTTGGTGGATTCCGACTCATTGTGTAGACTCGGGGTCTCAAACTCAGTTTGGCGAGTGACCATTTCAGTGACTGACAATTCATAGGAGAAGCGCTTTAACATTCAAGCACAAGAAAAAAATTGTGCATCTTGATACAACAGATATAATGTTTATAATTCAAGCATTACCTGTCACAAATCAACAAATCAGCACATGTTTCGCTTCATGAACTACAGAAATATATCTGTGGCTGTCTAAATTAGCATTTTGACATTTAAGTAGTCAAAATAATGATAATAATGAAGGGTGGCGCAGTGTGTAGTGCTGTCGCCTCACAGTAAGAAAGTCGCTGGTTCGAGCCTCGGCTGGGTCAGTTGCCGTTTCTGTGTGGAGTTTGCATGTTCTCCCTGCATTCTCGTGGGTTTCCTCCGGATGCTCCAGCTATATTCTGTCCCAACCAATTGTTGCTTCACCAAAAGTTTAACAGATAGCACAAGGACAGCAGAAAGCAGATTGGGTAACCTTACTGACTTTACTGCCAATTGTTCTTCTTAGTATCTTTCTTTTTTTTTAAAAAACTACAACAAAGAGGGAAAAGTATGTCTATATTTACATCAACATGTTCAATTCATCCAGCAATAAAACCTACATAGTTTCATAAACATGCTCAATACACATATGAGGAAAATCTATTAATGAGAGCATTTGAGTCGAATATTAGCACAATTAGCATATTTGTTACACCATCAGCAGAATGTGTAAGCCATGAAAAAGTGCTTGTTCAACAAAATACAGGCAGTATATAGCTGATAATAAAGAAGTGACCCTGGAATGTGTATAAAAATAGAGCTTTAGTAAAAATAGAGCACTTATGCACATTTATGGCCCGTTTCCACTGAGTGGTATGGTTTGGTACGCTTTTATGGCCGTTTCCACTGTCAAAAGACGTACATAACCAAACCGTACCGTACCACTTTTTCGGCACCCTTTCGAAAGGATACCAAAAGGCGGAGCTAGAAACGCAGCTGATCGCTATTGGTTTACAGAGATGCATCATTTGCTTACACAACAAGCCAGAATGAAAACAAAAAACCAGCCATGTTTAAAATACACAGTAAGAGATTACAGCGTAAATATATATGCATATAATATGCCGTTCTTCGTACGTGGATTACTCAGTTAGCTGGATTTGGATGTTGACGATTTGACACGATCCAGGATCGTTTCGTTCTTCAAAGCTGATCCGAGAGTTGTTGTCATAGCAACAGTTCTTCTAGGTCAAACCTGATTGGGAGCAGGTTCAATTCATATAAACAGGATTTGATCGGCTCAGTTCAAGCAAAGATAATACAGAAAGTATGTGGCGAATGCTGATATTTTCTTACAGTAGTAGTTATATACACTTGGGAAAATGGTACATATTTTTAACCATATATATAAAGTTATAGTCATTAATAAAATAAATAAAGTCATACATATTAATAAAACTTATGCAATCTGCACCCTCGAAATGAAAGTACAAAGACTGCCACCTAGTGGTGCAAAGAGAAAACTTATTGATATGAACTTTTTAGATCGCTTTAGTACAAATTGTGTATAATAGAAATGCAGAATATGTGACTTTTTTTTTTAAAGCAATAATACATTTATGCAGACATGAACATGTTTTGGCAGTTAATATGACAGTGATTTGATGCTTCACAAAAGTTGCAGACGACTTTACCAATATCAAATTGCTTTTGTAAAAGTTATTATTTACACCAATTAAAAAACGGCTACTATAATATAGACAATCTTCTCTAAATGTAAAACTAAATACACTGATTTGCATTGAAATACATGATGAATACTCTTGACACATGAAAGTGTAAAGCCTGCAGCTCACAACAAATGTGGAAGGTTCTTGCGTGTCATATTTAACAAGCCGTTTACTGCTAATTTTCTGTCATTTTGCTCACATGGATAATGGAATATTAATCAGATGATGTCATTACGCTGTTGTGCCGTCAGCCAATCGTTGCATTGCTGATCATGATTTCGAGGATGGATAGATCACAACACAACTGTCCTTCACAACACACGCAGCGATCTCAGATCAGTTTATCCAGACATTCTAATCTGATTCGCGAACTTGTTTGATGAACCAAATTAGCGAGAGATCAGTTATCAAGATTAAAAGATCCAGAATCTGCCAAATCATCTTAGATCATTTAAGCGAGGTACGAAGAACGGACCCTAGGGCTCAAACAAACCTTGTCGTCGTCTTGATGAACAGCCACAAAGCCATGGAGTAGAGTTTTTTACAAGTCAGTCTGAAGTGCGAGTGGTTTCGCTTTCTTGCTTGCGCTCGCCACGCGTCTCTATCCGAAATAACAAACTTCTTGAGCTGATAATAACGTGCGCTTGATTATTGATGTGCTTTTGAAACCTGATCCTGTCAGACACTGACAAACACAAGAGTGAAGCGCGCAAAAAAGGAGAAGCCGGAAAAAAAGGAGCACATTATTTCTTCAGCAAACTGACTGTGGGCTATATTTTGTGTTGTTTTGAACCTAAATAAGGACTAAATGTCTGCTGTATGTAGTTCTTCTGGAGTTGTTAATATATCGGAGACTGCAAGGAGCTGTATGTGTTCATACATGTTAATTTATTTATTTAATATAATTACAGACGTCACAGTAGGCTATTTCGCGCTGTCATTGATCTGCAGTTCTAATCAAATCCTGTTTATAGAAAAGTAATAAACATTTATACCGAAGTATTTATGTGTGTAAAGCATCTGTTTAGTGAGAAGTGCTTTTCATATATGTGGGCAACCCGTACAGCTTTATTGTAGACATTTCCTTGAGCGAGAATGATGTGACTGACACTTTCTGTCGTACACCACGCCCACCAAAAGGGTACACTTGGTAGTGGAAATGCAAGCCTGATAAAGGTGACCCGTACCGACCCGAACCGTACCGTACTGTACCAGTCAGTGGAAACGAGGCATTATTTCAACGTTTAAATCAGCCTCAGAAATAATCTGCATGTGTGTTACTCTCTACCGCACATTGAGAAAAAACGAAAGTAAAACTGAAATACAGGATAATATAGTGCAATACTTTAAACGTCCAATAGGTGGGGCTCAAAACCACAAGTGGCTATATGCACAACACTGATAGTGGTTCAACAACATATGTTTTTGGGGGCCAAATCTCGTTATATTTCTGACATCAGTTGCGGGCCGGGGGGCGTAAATGACCTGCGGGCTGGGAGTTTGAGACCCCTGGTATCTGGTATGGTCTTTAACCTTGCTCATGGGCAGATCAGTTTTCTCACTAGTGAAACCTTCAGTTGTTCCACTCATAAAATCCATCATGAGAATAGCAAATCTGCCGTGACGTGATCACAACTCACTCTTAAAGGGAATTGGAGATGAGTCTCTGATTGGTTGAATCTGCATTATGCCAAAAAAACACCCATAACCCTTTAAGAAAACAAGGATTACTCTTTTAAACCATGCACTGAGTGCACAGACTGTTTTTCCCATCCTTAAAAATGGTGGATTCAGAAACGCCCTGAACGCAGTTGCAGCCATGCCCTGAGATTGTTAAAATAGTCTCTTCTGTTTGTGTCTCAGACCCAGTGGCAACAGACTCCTCCCCCTCCGCCCTCCTCCAATAAAAGTGAACAGGCCTGCAGGCTCCTCCTCCTCTCCCATTTCAACTAATCAGCTGCAAGACAGCAGGGTTCCGAAGAGAGGCCCGCCCCTTCCGCCCCGCCCCAGACCCGGACACCCGCTGTACAAGCGCTACTCTGTGAGTGTGTCAGTCGAACAGGACGGCAAATCTAAACTGTCCAACATCCACAGCAGCTTTGATCGTAATGTAATGCTGTTTATATGACTGTGTAGCAGAGGAAAGAGCTTACAGAAGATGAAGAGCTGAAGAATCCTGACAAAGAGCAGGAGGAGCCATCTGAGAAAACATTGCATGTCAGTACACACACATATGCGTGCACACACACACACACACACACACGCACACATACACACACACACACACACACACACACTACGTACACGCACACATACATACATACAGACACAAACACATGCACACATACACATTCACTCTCACACGCATAAATGTACACACACACACACATATATACATACAGACAGACATACACACATCAAAACATTC